CTCTGGAGAATCCTAATACAGATTTTATAATGATATACTATACTAATATATATATATATACACACACATATAACCTGAAACAACATAGAAGAAACTGACAAATGCTTGCCTCTTAAGAAAGGCAAACTAGAGGTTCGATGGGAAAGAGTAGGGGGGCGATCTGTGTACCGCACATCCTTCTGTGCCATTTGAAGTTTTACCAGATATACATAATATCTATTTTTAAAACATAAATTCTCAAGGCTTTAAGTAAAGTAAGATTCTCTGTATTACTATTTATTTGACCAATGCCATCTGATACCACCAGTTTGGTATACTAAGACTTTCTCTAGCACATTGGAATAGGAAGTTCTCACAAGTGTTCATCCATGAAGCCCCCAGAAGCCTCGCACATACTGCCAGTAAACTGGCCTCTGGTGTGTTTGAGAAGCTAGATGAACAGACTATGTAAGCCCTCCAAAAGGTCAGAGTGCAAGAAACAACTCTAAAGCTGGTGCCTTTGTAACAATTCTTTCTAGGAGGCAAGAGACTTGACCATGTGACTTGCACAAGCTGTTTCCCTCTGTGCCTCAGTTTTCCACTTGAGTAGGTAGTCTGACTAAACCTGACTACAGATACCTGAATAAAGATCATGAATAGTGACTTCTAAGTTCCAAGAATAAAGTGATATGAGAATTAGTGTGTGCCACAAGATATCAAAGCCTACCTCAATAATATTGGTACCCCAGTGACCTCTGAGTGACCCCTTAGTCCAGTGCTTCTCACCCAGGGCAATTTTGCGCCCCCCAAGGGACATCGGGCAATATCTGAAGATGATTTTGGTTGTCACAACTGGGAGGGGAGAGGGGGAATGCTGCCGGTATATAGTTGGTAGAGGTCTAGGATGATGCTAAACACTCTACAGTGCATAGGACCACCCTCCACAATAAAGGCTTACCCAGCCCCCAAATCAGTAATGCCGTGGTTGAGAAACCCTGCCTTACAGCAAACCATAGAGACTCATCTTTACTAGTTAGTAGATAGACGTTTACTACTCACATGTAAACCTATATAGACTTCCCTTCAACTTCCATAGCTAATCCTGTGGCAAAATTGAAATGAAAATTGGTAACACGTAACCATCGTTATAGTGTAGGTTTGGCCCTCCTTAAGTCACAGGGGACAGAACCAGAGATTGACATTTTCTCTATCGAAGGTCTTCAGCAAGCCACCACTTTTCTAACCTAAGAAGTCTAAGCAGCATCATTACACTACATATAACAACTGAAGAATTCTCTGCTTTTACAGAGAAATTAGATGTAGGAAAGGTGCTTATCTGACATCAGAAACAAATGCTTTAAACGTGTCACACCTGCTGGTTTGGTTGTCATAACTCTTATCAGCTAGAGAGCTAGAAAGACAAAGGTGAGAATAGACTCTGACATCATGAGGCTGCCACGTTGAGTGGCAAAGCCTGCTGAATCCTCAGGTTTAATGTGATAAACTTCGTACTGCCCTGGGTCCAGGGATCCATTCTAACACCTTCTAGGTCGCTTTAAGTTCATTTAGACTGAACAAGCATAAAATCACAATTATCAGCAAATGTACCAAAAAAGGCAGAGTGAAGAAATTTGAAAGAGCCAGCCCTACCTGGTCTTTCTCTTCTTCGTGAACAGAATCGTCCAATTTGACTCTTTCAGGGTCTTCCTCGGGTTTCCGTTTGGCAGGGCTGTCAAACACAGTAAACCCAACCGTTAGCTCAGCCAGACCCCAGACCTCCAGCCGGCGTGGAATGACCTACACGCCTCCCACCCGCTTAAGGCAGATTCAGGGCATGGATGCCCTCTTCCCACCAAGGAGAAGCCCTCATTGCTAGGGATTGAAAGTGGCTCAAGTTTAATGTTTCTTTGAGTGACAGGTTTAAAATATCACCATTTTGCAAACCCTAAGAAATCGTGGATCTAGACGTTGATCCTTGGCTGCTAGTATTGCAGGGGAGACATTGCACAACTCTGATGGAAGGCCACAGAGCCATCTATGAAGTCTCAAAAAAATAAAGCTGGAATCTGATCAAAGCATTAGACCTAACTACCAGTTTCCAGGAAATAGAGACAAGGGCACACATTAACCACCATAAGGATGCAGTCAGCCAGGTCTAGAAACTCTGTTGGACAAATGACCTAGTTTTTGCAAATAAATGACAAGAAAATAAGAAAAGGAATCTGTAACTTGCAAGGCTTAAGGAATAAATGAACCAAACAGTTTGCTTGCTACACATGGGGAAATGTGAACATTGGCTATATCTCTGACAGTAAAGAATTATTACACTTTACAAGTCATGAAGTAGTATTATGTTTTGTCTTTCTAAAAAAAAGACTGTTTACTAAATATCAGCAATTATAGCAAAATATGAATAAAAAATTCAGAGGAAAAGAGAAGTCGTCATCTAAAAATCTACTGAAATATTTATGGATAAGATATCATGTCTGAGATTTGTTTCAAAGTAATCCAGTTGGGGGGAGGCGGGGGGACATGGGGATATATGGAGTCGTAGTACACTTGAAGTAATCCAGTTGGAGTGTATGGGGGTGTAGATGAAATGAACTTGGCGGTCCATTTTGCTATCCTCACTTATTTTGTATATATTTGAAGTTTCCTACAGTAAGGTTAAAAATAGATGAGGTATTCAGAAATGCTGTTCATGAATGTCTAATGAACAAAACTGCAAAATGAAAACCTATGAAATGTGGAAGTCAGAATTGCTAATTCCATACATGTTTTACCAAAAACGATTGGCCACTGGAAAAGGTGGCTGTCAATTCATTATATACTGACCCCCTTGCAAAATGAGAGGTGATAGTGGTCTGCCTGGTAGTTTGCCTTGTAATCCTGGGGCTAGGTGAGACTTCAGCTGTTTAAAGGAGAAAAGAAACAAGAAAAAAAGCCACTATGAATAAAAAAGTTCACGGCGAAGGAGTTCTTCAGCATCACTAAGCTCGTGCAGAGAACCAGGCTCTGAGGATTAAGTGTCTTTCCCCTCTTATTCTGATCAACAGCTGTCTTGATCGAGTTTGCAGTTAGCACCTGCCAGCATGCAGAGCCATTTTACATAAGCTCGTATTTGAGGGGCCAACCCCTGAACCAGACAAGGAAACAGAACCTCCCCTTGTATCGTCAAAAGGTGAAGTGGCCAAGAACGGGATCTGGGCTCTGGGCTCAAGTCCATGCTCTTTTGTTTGTAAAGATTCCAAAAGAGTTACTTTGACTACAAACTGGGAAGGAGTCTAAGAATAAATGTTTAGCTTATATAGGCATATAACTTAAAAGTAATAAGTATTATGGTAGTAGCTCCTGTTATGTTATACCTCATAAACTTAGCCATGTTTTGGGATCTAAATGCTCTAGACTTGGTCAAAGACAAAATTTAGAGTAGTATACACCTAAGCTAGTTAGGAAGTATGCTGCTCTTTCTAGTTAGAAGTATACACAAGAAAGCAAACCAGGGACTACTGCCTGGGGGAACCTATGGCTTCAAATCTGACTGTCTCCTTATGTGATACCAGTCTCCATCAATGTTAAACAAGTCAAGGGTTCTTACACTTCGTCTCTCCATCGGACTTGCTTCTCCTGGGCATGCAAGGTTTGGACACGGGTTTGGGGGACTTGTTTTCCTCTGCCATTCCCACTCTGCGGTCCTTACCACGCGAATGGCTCCCGTTTTCTAGACATCCATTCACTTCCCGACTGAAAGCATGAGCTCCGTTCTCCAAGGACAAATCTTTATTTAGAAGGGATTTGACTTTAGCCAGGTAGCCCTCCTACAACAGGAAAGGATAATTTAAATAGCAGTGAATGTAAACAAGTGGCAGTAAGAGAATAAGGAAACACACGCATTTCCTTTATAACTATCAGGTAACAAGGAGAGCTGGGGATTATTCTGCCTCGCTGGTCACAGACAAGCTATACAAGAGGAGACATTTTCTAGACTCCAGGATGCTGAGAAATGACTTACCTCTGATAATTCTTCTTTATGTAATTTTGTTTCCAAGTCACATAACTGGTTCTTTATTTCTGTTTGCAGAAATTCATGCAAGAGATTCAATTTCTCCTTCACACACTCCTAAGGGAAGGATATAGGTTTATAAGTCCCCAAACTCACAAGCTAATAGCTAATGGACTAACACACAAATAATTACACTGCCTGGTCACGTAACAATTGAATGGCAGGCAATGCTGACTTGGCCAAAAAACTTTAGGATTCACAAGACACGTTCATGATGTTTCCCTTAAGGTCACATCACACCATCTCCAGAGTAGTAAAAAAATGGAAAGATCAGAGGTGGGATGGAGACACACAATGGTGTATTAGAACAAAACTGTGCTTTTTAAAACTGTGTGACGAGGAAAAGTTACAATTCAGAATTGATGGTTTGGAACCTAGATTGGGAAACTTGTCAAGGAGTTACCAAAAGTCAACTAACATCAGCAGCATATTAATGCAGCACATTAAGCAATATTTCCAAGTTATCCTCAAAACTTTATGGAAAAAAACCATTTCCACTTAAACTTTTTACAAGCCACAAAATATCTAACAGTCACATTTGGTAATAAAATTTTTTTAAGGTGGAGATTACCTTTTCTGTTAAACTATCTCTTTCCAAATCTTTGAGCCTGGGGGAAGAAAATAAGGGAGAAATACTTGTTAAGCAACTTTGTTTACCTGAAAGAATCAGTACCACAGTTTTAAAGAACTTTGGAAGTAATTTAACATATATGAGTGCTAGAAAAAAAAAACCAGTAGTTTCCCCTCCAACCATGTCCAGAATGCCAACTATAATGCCTAGAAGTCTATTTGTGATCGAAATGAGGGTCTCTTTTTTTTGGGGGGGGGGGAGGATAGTTTTTCTGATGGTGAGAGATGATAGAGGAGTGTTCTATAACAATATATATTATTTTAAAAGGTACTGGGGAAGGAAGCAGGTCAGAATTGGTGTCCTTCTGTAAGTTAAGCGACCTACAGGTAGTCTTCCTCCAGTTGGATTTGAGAAGAGCACATAAGAAAGTAGAGCATAGCATGATTGGTTTGGGATGAGTGGACCAGAGCCACAGGATGCTGTGGGGAACAGGTGGCTAACACTCCCCAAAGGCCAGGAAGGGTTTGGGGTGGGGGCGGGAGGTGGCAGCATTCTAATGAGTAATGTATGAAATGGGGGAATCCAGGCATCTGGGGCGGCAGGGGAGATAGAGTTGGACGAGTTAGCTGGCGCCTCACCCAAGAGCTCATCCTTTCGAATGTTTGTACCTAATCATTCAGAAGTGCAAAATTGTTATGAGTTTGGCTGGAAAAATAATGATCTGGTTTCATTATTGAAGATTAGTGTCTTGCCTCTTTTGGAGAAGGGAGAAAAAAAAAAAGGAAGGAATAGAAAGCACAGGAGGAAAGGGAGGTGAGTGGAGAGGTTGTTCCTAGCCTGGGGGCTGACTGTGGGGTGAGAACAGGTCTAACCAGCTGGGTGAGTGTCAGTGGAGGAGGAGCAGTGGGCAGGACTGGGCCTCCACCATCTCTGGATCCTTTCACCCAGCACCCACACAGACTAGGTACTCAGTAATCACTTGCCCAAAGGGCAGGAACAGAGCTTTTCCAGAGCCTTAGCTGCAAAGCCAGGAATGTGAGTGGAGGGCTTTGCTGGACCAATGTCATACAGTGGCTGCTCAGAGTGCATGTGGACCTGCTTCTAAGTTCGACTGCCACTCACATCTGTGGGTACCTACTGCATGCCAGGTCCTGTTCCAAGCAACAAGCTGGGTGACTGGACACAGCATTGACAGGCAGGTACTTCCTGACTTAGGTGGTCAGGAAAGCTTTTTCTGTAGAAAAGACATTCAGCAAACCGCAGATATGGTGGGTAGTACAGTTGACCCTTGAATAACATGGGTTTGAACTAATGGGTCCACTTACACGTAGATTTTTTTCAGTAAGTACTGTAAATATATTTTCTCTTCCTTATGATTTTCTTAATAACATTTCTTTTCTCTAGTTTACTTTATCATAATACAGTACATAACATACAAAATATGTGTTAATCAACTGTTATCCATATGGCTTCCAGTCAACAGGAGGCTATTAGTGCTTAAATTTGGGGGAGTCAAAAGTTATATGTGAATTTTCAACTGTTCAGGGGGTTAGCACTCCTAATTCCCTTCGTTGTTTAAGGGTCAACTGTATATAATATCACCTCTAGAAGCTGGGAAAGGCCCTCGGCTCAGAGCCAGCAAAAGAGGGACCTCAGTCTTACAACAAGGAACTGAGTTCCGCCAACAACCGGAAAGAGTAGGAAACAGAGTCTCCCCTAAGGCCTCCAGAAAGGAATGCAGTCGGCTGACACTTTGATTTTAATCCAGTGAAACCCATACCAGATTTCTGGCTACCGAACTATAAGATAATAAATTTATGTTGTTTTATTTAGGCCACTAAAATTGTGGTAATTTGTTATAGCGGCAATTAAAAATGAATAGTTATTAAAAATTCAGAACCTTTTGGTGGAAGAAAGAGTAAGCAGGCCATGAGTTTTAGAAGTGATGTTTCAGTGAACAGCAGCTGTCTAGATGGCTATTCAGCAGCCAGAAATCAGAACTGGCTCTCCAGAGAGGCAGTAAAACTGGAGGTATCCATGCAACAACATGGATGGAACTGGAAGGTATTATGCTCAGTGAAATAAGTCAGACAGAGAAACACAAATTATCATTATGGTTTCACTTATATGTGGAATCTAAAGAACAAAACAAACAAACAGACTGATAGATACAGAAAACAAATTGATGGTTGCCAGATAGGAGGGGGGTTTGGGGGACTGGGTGAAAAAAGGTGAAGAGATTAAGAAATACAATTGATAGTTACAAAATAGTCACGGGGATGTAAAGTGCAGGGTAGAGAGTATAGTCAATAATATTGTAGTAACTATATATAATGCCAGATGGGTACTAGACTAGTCAGTGGGATTACTTCATAAATTATATAAATATCTAACTACTATGCTGTACACCTGAAACTAATATAAAATAATATTGAACCTCAAACATAATTGAAGTTTTTTAAAAGGGGGGTAAAGGTGAAGGGGAATAAGAGATTCAAATTTCCAGTTATAAAATAAACAAGTCATGGGGATATAATGTACAGCATATATATATATATATATATATATA